TACCACAAATCTAGCCACCTCTGTGGGATTGTGAACAGCTATACTTTTTGGAGTGATCTCAGTAAGAAGCAAAATAGCAACCTAGGATCATTCAGGAAAAATTCAATGATTATGATTTCTTTCTATCTTTTAAGTTCGTTTTTCTTTTTTTATTTTCAAAAAAGGCTAGCTTTTCCATTGCATGAAAACAAAATATCTACGATAATCACCCAGATACATATAGACCAGAAAGGTGCTATGCCTTTCAGTGTGCACGGATACATATAGACCAGAAACAAGTTCATTTAGGAGAAAAGGAAATAAAATGTATAAGAAGATCCAAGATCATTTGTTGTTGCTCTGTAGGATAGCTTCAGATTAATAATTTCGTAAGTGAGTTGAAGAAAAAACAAAGGGAGGGAAAAAAAATGGTAAAAATGGAAAACCCCCCTGGAAGGAAATAAGCTCAGCCTGTCATGCACGATATAAAGGACATTGTTTTGATTTTCTAGTAAAATATCAACTCCTTTACCAATAATATAAAGAGAGAAATATATGCAAATTAATCTATTGTATAAAGAATGATTGGTGCCCAAAGGTTTGGATACCCACAATATCAAAAAATAAAATAAAACAAACAAAATAAAGAATGACCAGCGTGCAAGAGTTGAAATACGAGTATCTAGGTCATAGAAAGTTCTAGAGCCACCTAAAATACCAAATCTCGAACTCAAAGACCCTATGGTCACAAAAGATCCAGCTCATTTACCATTGCCACCCACCTTTTGATCATTCTGGAGTCTATTAGAGTTACCCAACATGATTTCTTATTCATTCTTCCTTTATTGTTTTACAAAGGAAGTACAAAACTTTGTAACAAGGAACTCTACAACTCAGGAGCTAACTTAAAGAGATTTATCCTGAAACAAATTAAGCCCTTTACTCTAATTTACTACCACTTCACAATGAGTTACATACGAGCACAAAAAGAGGCAAACAAGGCACAAACTTCATATATTTATCTAAACCATAACACAAAATTACTGAAACACTAACAATCAATAACTGTGAATGTTCTTCAACTTCATATATTTATCTTTTTCAACTTTGTTGATGTTTCCATACTAAAACTCAGATTTCAATTGCTATTCACTAATTATAAGAGCTATCAATCTTCAAGCCAAGAAACATTAAATCAGAAGCTCTAAAACATCAACTCTGCAACTAGCTTCTTCTTTGAAAAAGTCTTCTGGCTTTCCTCATCTTCCTTCCACTTTGACTTGGTCGGCCATCAAACAAAGACACAAACCATTTCGGTTTTCCTGTTCGGAAGACAAGATATCCCATCAGCAGTCCAAAAACAACTCCACATCCATAGCCTAACACCACAGCTCTCCAGCCAAATCTCCACAACTCATCTTTTTCTTGGAAGGAGCTCGGCGGTGTCCCAATTCCATCACAAGATTTTGACAATGGGATTCCACACAGTCCAAGGTTTCCTTCATAAGAACCATTTCCAAAGGTGTTGAACTGACTGCCTTGTGGTATGCGCCCGACAAGATGATTATTTGAAAGATTCAATAGAGAGAGTTGTGTCAAAGATACCAATTCATCAGGAATTTTCCCCGCCAGCTCGTTGGAAGAGAGATCCAACCATTCCAGATTCGTCAAATTCCCTAGTGACGGAGGAATATGACCAGTAAGGTTGTTATGAGAAAGATTAAGCCCTTTGAGAGAACTAAGCTTTCCAATAACATCTGGAATTTCTCCCGCAAACTTGTTATTTGAGAGATGAATACTACTGAATATGGTCAAGATTCCCTGCAGCTCATAGTCAAATCCCTTCCATGTCACAACCAGTGAATATTGATAAGAATTCGTTGGCGCCGTCATGTATTCAGGGGAACCATCCTCTCCATGAGGGTCCATCATTGCTTTAAAATTTTCAATGTACCGAACAGGCAAAGGGCCACGAAAATCATTGCTGGAGAGGTCCAGAACTCGTAACTTGGGAAAAGATGGACTCTCTTTGGTGCTCTGCACAAAACCGTGGAACTTGTTGGACCTTAAGACAAGCACTTGAAGCTCTGGTAGAGATTCCAACCAATGAGGAAATGTATCCTCTATGCTGTTGTTGCCAACGTCTAGAACCTCTAACATGCTACAATTCACCAAAGACCTTGGTAATAGCCCGTCTATTTGATTTCCATGTAAGTTGAGATTTCGTAATCCACAGCCCTCTGGAAACCCAAATGGTACATTTCCACCAAAGTAATTGGCCTGCAAATTCAACACTGAGAGAGACTTAAGAAGACAATTTGGAATCTTCCCGATTAAATTGTTATGAGAAAGGTCAAGAATTTGGAGATCATCCTTTTCACATATCCATTGGGGAATATTTCCATGAATGCTATTTTTGGACAGCACTAGGCTTTGCAGACCATTTGAATGTCTTATGAAATTGGGGAATTCACTCAAGTTACAAGAAGAAAAGGAAACATCGGTTAGTTTGGGTAATGTGAAGTTGGCATTGACATTCATTCTCAAGGACAGATTATTGTCCGAAAGAAAGATGGTTTCCAGATTTTGAAGCGCCAAGAACATGTCAGGTTCTACTAAATCACTAAAATGATTTGATGATAAATCCAGATAACTAAGATTTACTAAATTAGCAATGGAGTTAGGAATTGAGCCCTGGAGTTTGTTGTTTGACAAATCTAGGTGTGTGAGGGAGTTTTGCCGGAATTGATTTATTTGACCTTGAAATTGGTTATGATTGAGGTTCAAGTTCTCTAATAAAGGTAGGGTGAAAATCCAAGGTGGCAACGTGCCATTAAGTAAGTTATAAGATAAGCCTAGCTCGCTTAGTTTGGAAAACCTAATAGCATGAAAAGGAATGGAACCAGAAAACTGATTGCTGGAAAGGTGAAGAGAGGTAAGTTGGGTGAGGTTTGCAAGTGATGATGGGATTTGTCCGCTAAGATTGTTATAAAAGAGGTCTAGCCTAGTGAGTTGCCTTAAGTTACCTATGGAAGCTGGAATGGGACCAGAAAACTGATTATTGAAAAGTTCAAGAGTGATAAGTTGGGTGAGGTTTGCAAGTGATGATGGGATTTGTCCGCTAAGATTGTTAGAAGAGAGGTCTAGGATAGTAAGTTGCCCTAAGTTACCTATGGAAGCTGGAATGGGACCAGAAAACTGATTATCGGAAAGGTCAAGAAAGCTAAGTTGGGTGAGGTTTGCAAGTGATGATGGGATTTGCCCGCTAAGATTGTTATAAAAGAGGTATAGCCTAGTGAGTTGCCTTAAGTTACCTATGGAAGCTGGAATGGGACCAGAAAACTGATTATAGGAAAGGTAAAGAAAGGTAAGTTGGGTGAGGTTTGCAAGTGATGATGGGATTTGTCCACTAAGATAGTTAGAATAGAGGAATAGGATAGTAAGTTGCCCTAAGTTACCTATGGAAGCTGGAATGGTACCTTCCAAGTTGCAACCAAGACCCAGAGACCGTAATGACTTAAGATCTCCTATAGACTCTGGCAATCGCCTTCCGCAATCCATATCAAGTAAATACAACTGTTGGAGAGGACTGCTCCAATTGGAACTTGGAAGATCAATAGTGACCTCTCCACCTAAACTAAATATCTTGAGATTTGAAAAGCGGAAAATATTGTTTGGAAAGTTTCCTCTTAATGCACTCTCCCAGAGATGAAGAGTAGTCAATGAAGAAGAGAGATTCATGAAGAAACGAGGATTAACAGAAGTCATGTTCACTCCTTCAAGCACAATTTCTCTCACCTCACTCAAGTTATGAACAAGATTTTTGAAGGTCGTTGTTTCAAGGATCAAGTCAAAATTGGAGAGATTGAGAGAAACTAACTTGGGGAGGTGAGCAATTTCTCTCGGAACTTGGCCCGAAAACTGAGAATAAGAGACATCAAGATGCTTTAGTCTAGTAAACTGACTGATTTCCGATGGAATCTTGGAATGCCTAAAATCATTCAAGGCAAGATTGAGGCTCTGCAGGTTTTTGAGGAAGAAAAGAGTGCTGTTGGAAGGAAAGGTGCCATAAAGGAAACTGCAGCTGAGATTAAGGGCAATTACATGGCCAGTGACATTATCACAGCTAACCCCATCCCAGGAACAACAGTCTATACCTTCCTTCCATGACTCAATCTTAGAATAATTAGGTTTAGTATAAAACATATCCACAAAAGATTCTGGAAAATGTGGATACGGAACAGTGTAATTGATGGAGAAGGATGTCTTGAATTGCAGCAAAGCAAGAGCCTCCTCATGAGAGCAGAGATGCGTTGTTGACAAGGGAGAAGCATGTATAGAGGATGAAAAGACAGTTTTAAGACAGAGGAAGACAAAAAGGAGGCAGAGTGGTGCAGAGAGCTTTGTGAAGATCCTCATATCTTTGTTTGGTACAGTAGAGTACTCAAGAATAGTATATATAGACTGTTTAAAATTGAGGGAGGCTAATAATTGAATAAATTTCATTAAAATAAAAATAAATGAATATAAAAAGTAATATTGATGCAGCCATGGATGTCAATTTTGAATTTTTTTTTTTACTTGTCTTTTATTTATTATTTTGACAGCAGATGGAGTCGTTAAAAATTATAATCACATTATTAATAAATCTTCAATTAATAATTTAAATTTTAATAAAAAATTATTTTTTTTGTTATTTTGTGATATAAAAAAAGTATTTTTCTCAC